CTTGTTCTCTCTGCAGCACGCAGGTAATCCATCAGCCCTAAAGCAACCCCCGCCTTTGCGATACTAAACAAAAGTATTTATAGTTGCGCTGGAGCGAACTACAACCGCCGTGTCGGTCAATGCGACATCTTCGACGCCATCGATGGAGAAGCTGACGTCAATGAACATGTCGACTTCTACAAGAACCTCTGCGTTATCAAGGTAAGTTCAGGAACTGACTGGGAGGAGCAATGGATAATGAAGTCGCACCTTTCCCCATTCTCTGCCCGTCTGCGCGCTCCCAACCAGCAAGTGCTGGGATGAGACCAGGCGAGAGCGGAGGCGCAGACAGGCAGAGAATGGGCGTGCCCTAGTCTGGACTACTGCCAACTCTTTCGGCGCTCTGCAAATTTTGTTTCAATTTTGCCTGAATTTCAGGAAACCGACAGTGGAGTGTCAGCAGCTGCCAATGTGCCAGCACAGACTCATCGTATGTCCGGTACGGTCACTAACAAGAAGAAGGACTCACGTGGAGAACTGCTTGCAACGAAGAAGGTCATTATCAATTTTCAGTTAGTGTTTCGTGTTTCTGAGGGTGTTTCTTAATGAAAAACTATTCCAGGTGAAACCATCAATTCGTGAACACGAACAACATCGACGCAAGCCTGAAGCCACTTCACCTATTGGACCTCCAGTATCCATCCCGCCTGGTGCAATTCACACCATTTGCAACTATGAAGGCATAAAGGTGAGTGACTACTTGACATCAATTATTTTATGAAGGATTATCAGTATGTGTAGGCAGTGAATCACGCAAAACCTCAGATTCCCAACTCTCGGGCGGTTCCATAATTCAGGGGCCTGTGACGCGCACGGTTGCGTGGCGGTCTCTTTGACTGCTTGACACCTAGGAGAACTGATCGTACTGCGAGGATCTACCTGCTTGGGCTGGCTTAGGTAACCTTTTCTAACTTTGAGGGAACGCCCTGCTTTGAGTGACCGCTTCGCGACCGCACGCAGCGGTGGACGACCAGCGAACAATCGCATTAAGTAAACAGTGTGGGTTTCAATATTCTGAACACTTCACCATCGCTATCATTGTGCGAAAAGATTCCTAGTGTAGTAAATAAGATCAGTAAGTATCGTAGGAAGTAACTCTTGCGCAAACAGCATCTCGCGGAGAGGGCGCAGACAAGTAGAACCTTCTAGAACCTTCTGTGGCCTAGTTTCTCTGCTGGCTGCCTCCGCTCACCCCCACCCCTCCAAAATCGTATGAGCGCCCAACAACGGTTTCATTTTCACTTCTGAGAAGCTGTCAGATCAAGCTCTCATCTTTCAGGTCCAAGTGAACAACGGAGCATCATTCAGTGGTGTGATCTTCGTGAAAAACAAGTATGACACTTGCCGAGTAGAGGTTTGTTCAGTTTTAAACCGTTCAAATGAACCAGTGCACAAAAAGAGATCCACCAGAAGCCCACCGTTTGCAAAAGAGAAAAAACGAGGCATGAAAGGGACAGGACCGGTGTACTGAAGATTGTAACAAGGCCGCGTTTATACTTCGCGATGACTACATCATCATACGCGCTCTATTGCTAGTTGTTGGACTGCCGACCACAAACCGTTTGCAGCG